TGTGTTCGTCAGTTTTTGCGACCAGAGGAATAAGTAGGCAGAAATATATCTGCCCAGCTACTGCGCATGCTTGCTTCAGAACCCCTTTTCATAACAATGTATCAATCTCTTATTGAGATAGCAAACTCAGTTGGATTGAATTGTTGATTTTAGCATAGCAGTTTGGCTCGAGAAGAAAATCACATCACATCTTACCCCAGAAATTGTGCGTAAATAAGTTCTGCGGTTCAGCAGTTAATTGACGTCCATTACCGGAGAGAATTTGAATCTAGCCCTAACATTTCACACTCTGAACAATAAGAGATATAAGGCAAGAATAACAATAAAATCCAACTTACATTTAACTGTTGCCAAATCAATCTAAATTTTTCCTTTGTTGTGTTTGGCCGGATTCGGTTGGAACCCGCTTCGTCCCTGGGTACGGTGTATTTTTGAATTGAGTTCTGCGCCTACCCATACACCAAATCACACGCCTCAGCTTGTATTTGGGACATAGGGTCTTGGATAAAAGGTTTTCCTGATTCCTATAGACCGATTTTGTTTCACTTTGAAAAGCCTTCGCGCCTTGTTGATTCTTCACTTCATTTTGACTCCTTATTTTAAATCTTCACCAAAAAGGTAGGGACCATGTGGGTATTTCAGTGTGGAGCAGCAAAGTGGTTGATACCCCGTGTCTTAGAAGGGCTCATATGCTTCGTCTGAGAGCGACAGATATTTCCCAGTCAGTGACCTAAGAGCTCCAGTGCACCACTGACTCAAGGGAGACACATATAATTTAATTCCTCGCGTGTGAGAAGAATGCCTCTACAAGGTATAAAAATCCTGACGGTTTGCCAACATTATGGTCCAGCAATAACTATTCCGTACAACTTGTCTGCGATGTTAGCTAACCTAGAAATCTTCTGTTCTTATTAATATTAAGATTTCCCCATGCCACCTTTGTTACCTTAATAGGGTGCCAGTGCAGTGCAGTGGTGTCTCGTCTTGTTATTTGCAAGAATTAATTTTCAATTTTCAGGGCATAACGTCTTTCCCCCTTTTTCCCGTTTTTATACTGTTTTCAGGTTAACGTCTCTCGGCCAATTTTATCATTTACGTTAGCGCAGATCGCAGAAAGTTTCAATGTCTTCTGGCCCTAAACCATCAAGAAATTTCAGATATGTCTGTGGTCTTCTGAAATTGAATGGCTTCCGGTTGGCTCACTTTGTATTCTTATTGCCTTATATTTGCTAAGTAGATCGTGGGCATCGCCCAGAGTGAACAGTTATCGTTCATTCCTGCACTGAATGCCTAAAGGCTCTTCATCAATATTATATCTATGGCTAACATTACGCTTTTCTGAGGGCTCGGTTCATCAGCGAGTCTGAATAAAGTTTTCTTTGGGTTTACTCACGATGACGATGAAAGCAACACCCATGGCAAATTAAGGAAGTCTGCTTGGACAATGAGAGATTCATTCCGGTAGGATGATATTGAATCTTAAACAATTTAACCAGTGCGTGACGTACCACCATTTCAAAATGGACACATTAACTACGATCACTAACTTAATTACACCCAATTGTTTTATGGCATCCTTGGATTTGAAAGATGCTTATTATAGTGGTTTTGTTGTCCATGAAGATAGAAAATATCTTAGGTTTAAATTTAATGGCAATTTACTGCAATATACCTCATTACCAAATGGTCTTTCTTCTTGTCCACGCACTTTCACAAAGATTCTAAAACCGGTTTTGTCAACCCTTCACAAAGAAGGGCACATAGCATCTGCCTACATTGATGACATATATTTGCAAGGCGACACTTTTGAGGAATGCTTAGCAACCGTAATGAAGGCAATTAAGCTGTTTTATCATTCATCCTAGTAAACAACGTTAGGTTTTATCATTCATCCTAGTAAATCAACTTTTATTCCAAGTCAGAAAATTAAGATGCTCGGTTTTGTTCTTAATTGTAAGGATATGACTGTAAGTCCTACACAAGATAAACGAAATAGCACAATCGCTCTTTGCTCAACCATTCTCCATCGCAAAACAAATTCCATCAGGAATGTTGCGCAACTTTTGGGCAAGATAGTTGCTTGCTTTCCAGGGGCATTGTTTGGACCACTTTTCTACCGTCAAATAGACCATGAGAAAACAATGGCTCTTAAACAAAACAAAGGCAATTTCAACAAACAAATTGGCTTGTCCTTTGATGCCAAGACAGAAATCAAATGGTGGATTGAAAACTTGCCCAGGGTTTTTAAGCCATTAACACGAAATCATGCTTCTATGGAAATGAAAACTGATGCGTCTCTTCAAGGTTGGGGAGCTACTTGCCAAAATATTTCCACCGGAGGACTATAGTCGTTTGACGAGAAACATAATCACATAAAATATTTGGAAATGTATGCTATTTTTCTAGCATTGAAAACATATGCAAATGATCTAACAGATAAGCATATAAAAATTTTATCTGATAACTCAACAGCAGTACTTTTGTTGTCACACATGGGTACTAGCCGTTCAATTACTTGTAACAATTTATGTAAACAAATTTGGCTTTGGTGCATTGAACGTAACATATGGTTAACACTAGCACATATCCCTGGAAAACAAAATATTGAAGCAGATAGGGAGTCACGACGCTCTGCTAATACCTCTGCAGAATGGAAATTAAACTCTAAGATTCTGCAGTCATGTTTAACTGATATAGGTTTTACACCATCAGTTGATTTGTTTGCATCAAGGCTCAATAAACAGTTTGACAAATTTGTATCATTCAAACCAGAGCCAGAGGCTTTTGCCATCGATGCATTTACCCTTGACCACTTACAAATTTTATGCTTTTCCGCCTTTCAGTCTGATAACCAGAATGCTCAAAAAGATCCAAATAGACCAAGCAGAGGGAATTTGTGTGCTTCCAAACTGGCCTACACAACCTTGGTATCCCACAGCCACAAAATTGATGAAATCAAAGCCAATTTTACTGAAGCCAAGTCGTCGATTGCTTCAGCTGCCTTCGAGCCCTTCTGCGATTCATCCCCTTTGCAACAACCTTCATATCGTGGTATGTCTCTTATCAGCCAAAAAATAACAACCTCAGAATTATCCAGCTCCGCCAAGCATATTTTACTTTCCTCTTGGCGACCTGGAACCCAAAAACAATATAATTCGTACCTTGATTGCTGGAAAACATATTGTGCTCAAAACTCAATTCAGGTTTTCAACCCTACCATTGAGCAATGTATCGAATTTTTAACCACTTTATTTGACAGTGGCCTTGGCTATACTGCCATAAATACAGCGAGATCAGCCCTTTCGTCTATAATTACTTTGTCAAATGGTTTATCAATAGGTGAAAACCCTACTATTTGTAGATTTCTCAAGGGCGTTTTTGAGCTAAGGCCTGCTCTACCGAAATACAACACTATATGGGGTGCTGGTACACTCTTGGATTACTTAAATCAGCTTAACCCCATTTATAAATTGAGTCTCAAAGAATTAACACACAAAACAACAACACTCTTACTTTTGCTCACTGGTCAACGTTGTCACACGATTCACAGTATAGAGCTCTCTGGCATCCAAACTTTTCTGGATTTGGTTCGCATCACAATTTTAGAACCAATTAAAACATCGAAACCTGGGAAACACATTCAACCTTTGGAATTAAAAGCGTTCCCTACTAATCCAAACCTTTGTATCGTTTCACATCTAACCGAATACATAAAACGTACATGTATCTTTAGAGGTTCCCATAGGAAACTCTTTTTAAGTTATCAAAAGCCACACAACCAGGTTTCTCGAGAGACAATTTCTCGGTGGGTGAAATCAACCATGAAATTGGCTGGCATAGATACAAATGTTTTTACGGCACCTAGCTGCAGATCTGCCTCGACTTCAGCAGCCAAAGCATCTGGCCTCTCTTTGCGTGAAATTTCCAAATCTGCGGGTTGGTTCAATGCAACTACTTTCGCAAGATTTTATGATTAACTTTTAATTTGGGACAACTTTGGACAATCAGTTTTGAGTAATTTAGAACATTAACGAATTATTTAGCCTACTAACATTTCTTATCAATATAATTTTCATTAACATACTATATTATTATACTGTGTTGGACCTGAAACTTTAGTCCTTTTTCCTTTGCCACTTGACTTAGCCCTTGGGTTCGGAATTACAGGGCTTTGAAGTCTCATGGGATTCCATAGTGACGTAGCTGATTATAGAGAAGAATTTAAAAATTAAACGAGACTTACCCAGTAAGTTGAAGTTTGATTGGAATTCTTCTCTTTTATCAGCAGGAACGGAGGAATCACATGCCCTCCCTTTCTGAGGGCCCAACCCTGTGATTCCTTCATTCATCAATTTTTCAGATTTTTATTTTCCTGAAATTCCTCACCTTTAAGAATGACTTGTAGCGCATGCGCCCGCAACTCATGTGATTCCTCCGTTCCTGCTGATGAGAGAGAAGAATTCCAATCAAACTTCAACTTACTGGGTAA